TTTCCATTATATTGCATGCATTTCTGCTTTGTAATTTACTTGTATCTCTATGTTCCGTTTCCCTAGAACAGATATTCTTTAAGAATAGGGTCAATGGTTTGTTCTCACTCTGTGGAATAAGGTGGTAGACGCAGAATCTCCTTCTTGAATTGAATGGATAAGCTAAGTATTATTAGTATGCAAATAAGATTAGATGTCTGTTTTTTTCTGATAAATGTCCAATTGGAGGATATTTTTATTTTTAAATCATAATTTAAGAGTCAGTATAGTTGTTTAAAGGGCATTGAATTTGCTACTTCCTAACTTTACCTTGGACAAGTCAACATTTCTAATCTCATTTGTAATTGTAATTTAGGATGGTAAATACTTACCTTAGTTTGATTAGATAATTAAATGAATATATGTGAACTGTTGGGACATAAGGTCACACAGATGTCCACTTTAGTGATGATGATAATAATGATTATTTCTTTCAGTGCTCTTCTCTCACCCCTCTAGTATAAAAGGCTAAAGGAATTAGGTGTATATTTCATTTTTTCCTCTACTATATATACCTTGGGTGCCAAATGGCTGAATTAGTCAAAAATATGTGGACAGACACTGTTATAGGTATATAATTTGGGCCCTCTTCTCTCTCTGAATATCTTTTTAATTTTTCACTCATCATTTTCCTTTCCCAGTTTCTGTAATGGCTATGCAACTTCCATCACTTTCCTTTTGATTCCTCCTCAATCCTCACCTCTCTCATCCTCAGCAGATATCAAGGGGCTCATGCTTATAGACAAATGATATATAATGACACTGACAATTTATGAGTAGATATTTGTGCAGACAACTTGAGCAGGTATTTTTACATATACTATCGCCTCTAATCTTTTTACCAAAACCAATATAGTTGTCTACTGCAGACATGAGAATTTTCCCAGATACTCTGCCTACAGATTATGGTAATGCTTCATTGCTGGCTTGTCAATATCACCATCAGTTTAGAGATGAGAAAATTGAGGCTCAGAAAAGTTTGGTGCTTTGCCCAGGTGGCAAGTCAGAGCCCTGAGATTTAAATCCAGATTTCTCTTAACACTATTCTGATTCCCAGAGAGCATCAAGTAGGAAGCATTACACTTTCTGCTTCTCCACATCCAAAATCTTTATGTATTACTTTTGGCTTCTGAAAGAGTGACACCTCTCCACCTGTCAATATTTTCCACTAATTATTGATCTTTGCCCTTCACTCCATTTCCTCTCATTTCCTCCAAGGTTCTTCTAATCAATTATCTTCATATATGCTTTAAAAAAAATGCTTCGTCCATTGGCTTCTTTCATATGGCCTTAATACGTGTTCAGTTCTCACTGACCTACATTTCATTATGTGGGGAGACAAAAGTCTTCAAAAATGATTTAAACTGTTTTATAAGGGTATTGTCCTTAATCAGTCTTCAGCCCTTGAAAACCTGATTTCTGCTCTTACCATCTACGGATTCTGTCCTAGCTACAGTGCTCATTGACCAGCTAATATGCCCTTATTAGTACTTATCTCATTTGATCTGTCTCAAAATTGACATTGTCAACCTCTCGCTCATTCTTAAAGCTCTCACAGCACTCGATTTCAGTGGCACCCTCTCTCTTTCCTGGTTGTTCCTCTTCTTCTCTTAGACTGTTCCTTATCTTTCTTTGGTGTTTCCCTTATTCTCCCATCCCTAAATTTTTCTGTTCTCCATGGTTCTCTCCTGACCCTCCCTTTCTATTTCCCTCTAATGTTTGAGTGCACTAAAATAAATACTGTTTGTACAAGTGATGCTGCTTCTTTTTAAGAAAATGCACACACATATGTAGCTATATATGATTAATAAAATACAAATTCATATCAAAGTATTACTGAGTTTATAGAAGAATTCTCTCATTATGAATTGCCTTAATAGTTAGATTAAGTATTAGCAGTAAAACCATTATTTGTGATTCTGATCACTTTTAAACTTTAAACTTTATCTTCATATTAAAAAAAACTGGACACTTTTCATTTAGGCCATGAGGTTATTTAATACCTCATTCCCACGTACGTTTCTAGTTATATTTCTGTGGATGTGCATTAATTCTCTATGCATTATTTCAGTTCTCCCAAACTCTTAATGTGGTTCAGTGCCTTGTCCACACCTTGTTTTCCCTCATTCGAGAATGCTTTTGTTTTTAAAACTCTCATCTCCTTGCACATCCAGTGTACTCTTTAGTACACTTAGGTACAAGTAACAAAAATGAATTAACTAAAGCCAAAACAAAAATGAGGGAAGGGAGCTGGTCATAAGGGCACAGGAATGTCTCATGGAAACCAAGGGCAAGAATAACGTTTTTACTCAGGAAGAGACTAGAACCTGTGTTTTGGTTACTTGTAACAGCAAATTATCATTTTCTCTTAATGGTTTTGTGGATTGAGAAGGCTCAGCTGGATGGTTTCTCTTGGGGTCTCTCGTGATTGTGGGCATTTGTTGGCTAGTACTACGGTGACTTATAAGCTCAAATAGGCTGGATGCCCAAGATGGTTCCCTCGTGTCTAGCAGTTGATGCTCACTGTGAGCTGAAAGCTCACTTGGCACTATTCACTGAAACACTTCTCCACAGCTTCTCTATGTGGCTTAGGCTTTTCATAGCATGTCAGATGCGTTCCGAGGGGGCATCCTAAGAGTGAGTGTTCCAAAAAGGCAGAAGTGGAAGCCACTAGGCCAGTTAAGGGCTTTTTTTTTTTTTTTTTTTTTTTGGGTACACGGGCCTCTCACTGTTGTGGCCTCTCCTGTTGTGGAGCACAGGCTCCAGACACGCAGGCTCAGCGGCCATGGCTCACAGGCCCAGCCGCTCCGCAGCATGTGGGATCTTCCTGGACTGGGGCACGAACCCATGTCCCCTGCATCGGCAGGCGGACTCTCAACCACTGCATCACCAGGGAAGCCCAGTTAAGGGCTTTTCCCATAAATGGCAGAGCATTACTTTTGCTCTGTTTTACTGGTCAAGGCAATCATAAGGCTGACCTAGATTTAAAGAGGTGAAGAAATAAACTCTACCTCTTAGTGGGGGAATGGTAAGAGGAGTATGTGGTACGGACACTGTTGTTGCAGCCATCTTTGGCAGATGCTATCTGCTTCAGCCTATGATTGAAAGCCATCAATATTTTTGTTCCTACTATCTCTTTCTTACTTCTCTCTCTGGTTATGGATCTTTGCTCTTCCTAAACTGACAGTGCAAACTAGGGACTTCATAAGCACAGCCTCATACGTGACACAGTTCCAAGTGCCCACAGAGCTTGACCAGACTTTCTCCTGTCAGTTCCAAGAGAGAGTCTGATGGACCTAAGTGGGCACAAGCATTCTTCATGTTCTAATTTTCCATGACTTGGGGGTGGCCAGAGTTATGTGACAGAGACATGGCTGTTATTGGCCCACCATTTTGAGGGGGTGAGACTTTTCCACCTGAGAAGTTAAGACCATAAACCTCCTAAAGCATCTGATGCCCCCAGCAATGCTTACTAATTATTCATAGTCTACTTTAACATCACCTCTCCTATGACATCTATTAACTCTCCTGTAAGTATTACTCTACTGTGTATACTCCTATTAAATTTTATCAGACTCCTTAGTATTTCTAGGTGTATGAACAATGCTATGCACTAACATGGATCCCTAACTCCCAAATTCTATGGTTCCTGGAGAATAGGTACATCCCACTATTTCTTATGCAATGTCGTAGTTCAACCACTGAAGATACTATATATAGTAAAAAAAAAAAAAAAAAAATAAATATATATATATATATATATATATGGATTTGCTTGAGTCTTTGCTCTTCTTTATTTTAAACCAGAATTCTAATTACTTAAGTAATTTGTAATTACTTTGCCTTTATAATTATTAGGATCAATATGCTAAGAAATAATATTAAGGTGTATCTGTACATTTATAACCTTGTATTCTGAAAAACTGCTTCACCACTTAACCCATTTTCTTGGAGTTTCTCATTACTCATTTCAGGGCTGTAGTTCTCTGTGGTAACTGCTAAGCAAACTGATGTTATTTTCTAATAATATGTGCCAGAATTGACTCCAATTGGTGTAAATTAGGTTATATTAATATGCATTATACAAATTATTTTGCGTGGAAATTTTATGGGCCCTGTGGTATAAGTTAATCATTTTCTTCTTCTCTTATTTACAATAATCTGACAATGACTGAATTTTAAATTAGAATAATTTGACCAGTAGCTAATTTTTGCTGGATCTGGTAGAAAGAAATGAATGAATTTATTGTTTTTGTCTCTGCACACTACCAGATTTGACCCACTCCCGTAACTGGCTCAGAAGTGTATAAGTCAAATACAGACATACTTTTAAATACAACGTGATCAAAAATGTCCTTACTCATTTTAGAAAATATATAAATATTTTATATTTATTTAAAGTTTAAAAAACAGTCTCTGTAGGAAGCTATTAAGTATGTATCAGACAAAAAGCAAGGCCAGTCGAGACATTTAGCTTCCCTTTCCTAGATACATAGCTTCCCTGAAATATGGCATAGAATTTCTGAGTAAAGATCACTATTAAGGAATATTGTCCACATTCAACTTTCTCATTATGCCTTATCGCTGCCATAGTTGGCTTTTTTTAAATAAAGGTTAACATCTTTGGTCAGCTTTGAATGTAAATACAAAGATAAAAGAATATAAATTTCACATATTAAATATAAATAGATACTTCCTACTGAAAATTATATCTGAAACAGCTATTCATTATCACTGATTCAAAAGGATAATTTATTTTTATTAATAAACCCAATAGGAGATAAATAATTTCATTTTTGATAACTTTTGATAAGTAAAAAAATCAATTTATTGTCATTTTGAAAGAGGCTACATTGTAATAATGTTTTGAGAGAGTTTCGAATTCCATTTTCTTGGAAGGTGAGTTGTTCTTTGCAGTAACTTGCAGAGCATGCTGACTTATAATGCTGTCCTCCCGACAGAAAATCCAATCTGATTTGACAAGTCGTGAGATCAGTTTAGAAGAAATGAAGAAACATTACCAGGGAAAGGAAGCTGCCCAAAGGGTACTATCCCAAATTGAAGTGACACAGGTATGTATTATTCCATTAACTAAGGAGCTTGTTTTAGTTGGATATTAAAATATAGCCTATATTAGATAACTTGCTTATTAGCAAATTGGAATTAAGGGCGCTAGTTGAAAACTACAAATACTATATAAATGATAGACTATTTTGAATTCTACCTTTTAAGGATAAAATAGGTTAATAAATTGTCATTTATTTAGTATCACTTTAAGAACAGTTACTGAATTCTTCTCCCAAATGCATGTATTCTTTGCGCTGGACAAATGAAAAAAAGGTTTCTTCAGTTTGTTTTTATTTTTATTCTTGTATATCTTCCAGAATAAAGGAAGGTATATTAACAAGAATATGACTGGTTATTGTTTGGAAGGCAAAATTAAATTGGTGCTTTCTCTTTACAGAAAAAATTGCAAGATGTTTCCATGAAGTTTCGATTATTCCAGAAGCCAGCCAATTTTGAGCAGCGTCTACAGGAAAGTAAGATGATTTTAGATGAAGTGAAGATGCACTTGCCTGCATTGGAAACAAAGAGTGTTGAACAGGAAGTAGTACAGTCACAGTTAAATCATTGTGTGGTATGTATTTCAGATGGCAAATATGCAGCTACCCCTTGACTTTCCTTATTGGAATAAGGAACAATATTTGGTATAAGAACAAAAATTAGCACAGGTGTATTGAGAGACAAGAACTATTACTGAAGTAGTAGCCACTTAATACCTCTTCTGAAAATGCCTTCTTTGAGTCTAATTTTTCAAGGACTGTGCAGAATATAAAGGAAATTGCCTTTGTTTAATTCTTATGGAACTTTGAAAATATTTTTAAATGGAAATCCTGGAAAGAAATATGTTAGTCTGGAAACAGCAACAACAGCAGTATCCGCATTAAAAAAAACAATTCTAGAAATGAGTGCCAAGGAAACTAAGTGATCCACACAAGTCACCTTTAATTCTCAAGGCCACAGATTAAATGAGAGAATTTAAAGACAAACAGCAAGTGAAAGGCAAAAGCAAAATTCCAATCCAGGCACGCTTACTCCAAACCCTAGTATCTTTCCATTAAATATCAGGGCTGGATATGCAGTGAAATTCTGCCAGACCACAAAGACAGAGTTAAGAGGCACCGACTATTAGCCTGTAGTGTAAATCTTCACTACGGGGATTTAGAGCAGTGTTCTTTGTTCCACTTATTGAAAATTCACCAAGTCAGATGACTCTTCTGATAATGTAAAGCTGAATTATGAGGGCATCTACTAGAGTAAATATAAGTATTATTATAAATATATGTGTACTATGGAGTATCAGGGTAGAAATTCACATAAAATGAAAACACTGAGTGCTATTAACATTAATGGGAAAAAAGTTTATTTAGTACTTTGTGTTTAAGTATTGTTCCTGTTTCTACTCCATAACATAAATGAAAAAGAAACCCTTGGGTACATTTCAGTCATATCATTATGAATGGGAAAATATCATTCTTATAAACAAAAATTTTCTTTGTGAAAAATTATGGAGTAATTTTTATTCAGTAACATCGCTTAATAATACAGGCTGCATTTCAGTGGCATCATTATTATAAATATTCTCACCCCCAAAAGAAAGTTTGAATATCATTTTATATATTAGCTGGTATTAGCTGGTAGATAAGTAACATTAGGAATACATGGGAGCATATTTCATCTTACATTTTAAAAAAATTGAAAGCAAAATGACCCACATACATTATCATGGCTAAGTATATTCACAAAGGGAGAGCTGTTCATTCTTTTCTAGGAACAGGTCTCTAATGGTACCTCATAAAACTTGTCTGCTAGTAAATATGAACTGCCAAAAAAAAAAAAACCCTACCTGCACCCAGGTGTTACTATGCCCTGACTCAGTACAGAGGAAACAGATCAAAGTATTTACTCAATCTGGTTCTGGTTCTGGTTTAAATGTCAGGACCAATTCAAGTCATTCTTCCATAAGGATATATTTTCTTTACAACTTTTGTAATTTTTCATTACTTAAGATGCTCTCTCACATATACTATAATCATGGCCTTTGCTTTCAAGTAATTTTTGTTCTGTTAAAAAATGTCTTACAGGGACTTCCCTGGCGGTCCAGTGGTTAAGACTCCATGCTCCCAATGCAGGGGGCACGGGTTCTATCCCTGCTCGGGGAACTAAGATCCCATATGCTACATGGCGCGGCCTTAAAAATAAAAAGTCTTACAAACATGAACACAAACAAATATAAAGACTGTTTTCCTTTCTTAATGCTAAATATTTTATCTGTCTATTGAATGATACGATGTAAATGGCTATTTAGTACTTTGAGTGAGCTTTCCTCATAAAGGTAAATAATTGACATTTAAAAAAATTTAAATAGTCATTTGGAAGTATCTCTGATTCCAAAATTCAAGAATTCAGTCCCAGTGTGATAATTAATGATTTAAATGTTTCTGAATACCCAGATATGTTTATAATTCCTAAGATAGAAGCAAATGAATTAAAAAATCATATGGAAAGTTCAGAAAGAACTCACAATTATTAATAAAGGAATAATAACATCAGGCAATCATCAAAGAAGGGATTAAGGTGGAAATATTTATGTATGTAGCCTTAATGAATAGGATAATTGCTTAGCATTTACAAAATGCTTTGTTTTAAACACTGGTTTTAAACTGAAAAGAAAAAAAACAAACCTAATTTCTTTCCTGACTCCCAAATAACAGCAATTACCTACTAGCAACTTTATTTCTTAGTACCAATAAAATAAATATTTGTTGTTCAGGCTCACCACTGAACAACTTAATGCAGTGATGTATAAGTAAACTATTACATATGCATGTATACATATAGACATATACATATGTACATGTACACATGCATACATATATACATACATTCAAATGCACATATCTTTCCAAGTAAAATAACTACAAGGGGAAGCGATGACTTTTGTTTCATGAGGATTTGTTATGGCAGTATACTACTGTGAACCAATATATGTGTTCTTTATAGTTGTGACGTACATGTGAGTTTTACATAATATTTTATATCAGTCTACAGTTAATTAATCAGCCCCATTAAGAAAATAAATTTGTATAATTAATTAACATGTAAAATTACCTTCCCTCCTTATATATGATTTAATATATATTGAAAATTATGGTCTGGAAATTTAGATATTTTATCCCAACTATAATGTAGCAACATGAGAACAACACTGAACGTGTCTGGCTTGGCCCCCACTGATTCTCTAGTGACTCAAATACTGTCTGGTATAAGCAGGCACTCAACAAATACCTGGGGAATGAGTAAATGAATTTTTCCAAACTCACAGCTAGAATTATATAATTGTAACATTTAAAAAGTTGGGTTGGCCAAAAAGTTTGTTTGGTTTTTACTGTAAGATGGCTCCACTAGCACTTAGTTGTGTTTAACTTCATTCAAAACAATTTTGTTAGATTGTATTGTGACAGATGTCATATCAGCATGCATCTTAAAAAAACACATCAAAATTGGTGAATTTTTGTGTAGCCATTTTAATATTGAAGATGGGAGAAAAAAAGCAACGTTTTCAGCATATTATGCTTTATTATTTCAAGAAAGGTAAAAATGCAAAAAAAGATTTGTTCAGTGTATGGAGAAGGTGCTGTGGCTGATCAAACATGTCAAAAGTGTTTTGCCGGGCTCCCTGACTTCAGGCTATACTACAAAGCTACAGTAATCAAGACAGTATGGTACTGGCACAAAGACAGAAATATAGATCAATGGAACAGGATAGAAAGCCCAGGGATAAACCCATGCACATATGGTCACCTTATCTTTGATAAAGGAGGCAAGAATATACAGTATATACAGGAGAAAAGGCAGCCTCTTCAGTAAGTGGTGCTGGGAAAACTGGACAGCTACATGTAAAAGATTGAAATTAGAACACTCCCTAACACCATACACAAAAATAAACTCCAAATGGATTAAAGACCTAAATGTAAGGCCAGACACTATCAAACTCTTAGAGGAAAACATAGGCAGAACACTCTATGACATAAGTCACAGCAAGATCCTTTTTGACCCACCTCCTAGAGAAATGGAAATAAAAACAAAAATAAACAAATGGGACCTAATGAAACTTCAAAGCTTTTGCACAGCAAAGGAAACCATAAACAAGACGAAAAGACAACCCTCAGAATGGGAGAAAATATTTGCAAATGAATCAACTGACAAAGGATTAATCTCCAAAAT